TTTATATATCATAAGCCATACCAGGTTTCGCGGCGCTGCGCTCCGCAATTTTCTTTATGCTCGCAACAGTGGCGGCGCCACGAATTTTCGCCAGTGGGGGCAAGCTTCAGGTGACCCGATTGTTGTCTGATAACCCGATCTGCAAAATCCATGAGCTCCTTGCCCCTAGATGTTGCCAATTAGAAATTATCATGGTTTCAGGTTTCATGCATACGTATTGAGCTTAAGCATTAACCCTCCCGGGTCCGGAACGGGGGGGGGGGGGGCGTTTTTTCGCCTCCCCTGGCGAATATTTGCGATACCACATGAACGCTTAGGAGTAGAAATACGAAACTTGCTGTACCTTATCCCCCATTAACCCGCGCCCTGCTGGGGGGGGGGGGGGGGGGGGGGGTGTTTGAACACCCCCTTGTGGTTTTTCGCGAATATCTCAAAAACGGCGGCGATACCTCAATTCTACACATGTTGTGAAAATTTCAGACCAAGGTCATTCAAGGTCAGGTCACCAGGTCACTTGAAGTGACCTCACCTCATAAAAAGTTTCAATGTCTGTCATAGCTACACCGAGTGACCGATCGCTTTGAAACTTTCAGCGATTGCTAAGAGCAATAGAATGTACAAAATGTATATCTCAGAATTTTGATATCGATGACCTAAGGTCAGGTCAATTTTGCGACCTCCCCATTATAAGTCAATGGGAGAAAATTGAAATGCGCCTCTTTTGGATGAAAGACATTATAAACACTCCCAAACACCGAATTACAAGTGGTTTAGACACACTGAACATGAAAATGGTGTCCGTGACCCTTGTTTATGCCCTGAGGTCATCTAAGGTCACGAATGGTATCTAACAGTTTTTCGCAAATAACTTTTGATAGAGGCATGCTAGAGCGATGAAAACGCCTTAGATGTGTTCAGCTCGACGATACGGATCGACTGATATGCAACATGACCCTTTCCGGTCAGGTCATGACCTTGACCTGAGGTCAAATTTTCAAGTTGACCTTTCAAGGTCAAGTTATAGTTCATTCGATGCGTCTTGACGAGAGGAACACGATGCCGGTAAAAGTAAGCTCGTACAGGGCTTGGGTCAAAAGTTATTGCAGAAAAACTGTTTCCAAGAAAATCGGCTATTTTTGCAGTTTTTGCCCCCTGCAGGCAAAACCGTTGACGTTAGGTCAAATCTGAGAGAATTATTCAGAAAGGGCGTTAATAGGGCTATGGAATGCGCTTTTCCGCGGCGCTGTAGCTCTATTGGTTCCCGAGTTATGCGTTGGCTTCTTGGAAATTTTCGCCATTCGACCTGGAAATCGGCGAAATTTTGCCTTCAATGACCTCTGGTGACCTGACCTTTGACCTGACCAAAAAATTGACTGAAGTGATTTCGTCATTATTTTTGACGCTCTTTCGAACGCCGCCTTCCGCGTATCGCTACGTGGCCCAGGAGCCGAGTTACAAGGGGGGGTGTTCAAACACCCCCCAGCAGGGCGTGGAAATCCAGGACCCCCAGCCGGGCGCGGGTTAATTTGAAATCTTTTGAAGCAAAACAAATTGGACCTAGCCTTCTTGATAACGTCTCAAGGCCGATTTTTTCTAGACTCCTGCACGGCAAACTTCGGCGTCACAGACGTGAACTTCAACCAGCTGCCAAAATAGAGTTTTAGAGATAAAGACAAATAACGAGCACCGTTGTGTAGCATTTGACCTAAAAAAAATACATAAGTAACTTTGGTGACCTGAGGTCAGAGGTCAGGTCAACGACCCCGAGCTAAGGCTTTAGTTTTTTTTTTCGCAAGTAACGTCAACAAAAACAGTCCTAGAGCTGCGGCAGCGGTAGGTACCTTCGCATTCGTCTCGTCGAGACGCGTCGAATGACATATATATTGTTTGGAAAAGGTCAAGTTTTATGTTGACCTCATGTGACCTCGAATGACGTATGGTTGACTTTGACACATGAAAGGTTGCTAGTGATGATTTCGTAGCCGCGGATCACGATTCTGGCATCCATAAGCATTAATTTAGAGCCTCAGGATGGCAAAACATGTCTTAATTATTATGCCTGACTTAAATAAGTGAAATAGCCTCTAGCAAGGATACTCTCTTGTGACTTTGACCTTGTAGCAGCCTTGTATCGTAAGCTAAAGCACAAATAGGGGCCCGCTAAGCTTCAAAACATTTCAAAACATCTCTGAATTTAGTATACAAGGTATAAGAAAAAGTGCAAAGTTTGTGGTCAATTTTGATCACGACCGTGACCTTGAATTTGAATGTTATGCACTGCACGTCATCGGAATCCCCAGACTCTCTTCTTTTGTTTAACATCCATTTTAGCCGGTTTTATGCACCATGTCGTCCTCTGGAACACGTACTTTGAGACCACTACAAAAGTGCCGGTTTTTGCCTTGGACCTTGGCTTTTGACCTTGAAAATTGACCTGAGGTCAAAAACTTAGGGTGTTATAAAATCTTATCGTAGATACCTTTCGTTTGGTACCATTTTTGTTTCCGTAGCTGCCTTATTTCCTTATTTAAGTACGGAGTTAGACAGGTGTGGGGGGTACCCCGGGCTGCGGTGGTTGGGAATACCCCGGGCCCGGGCAGGTTAAGGTCGCAAGCAAATAAAACTATAAAACTAAATTGCGAGACAGAAACCTGTGAAAACGTTATGTTGAGATGTAAAATGGTGTATTCCTCAAAACAGTTATCAGTACCTAGTTCTCTTTTTTACCGTAGTGCGAATATATGCGATTCTCTCACACACGATTGATACCAGAATAAGCTCTATTAGGGCGATCCACATACATTTCCAGATAACCCAGATATACATACCTATTACCTACCTATCACATTTTGTCATACCTCCCTGAGCTCAGTCTCAGTCTGAGGGTTCCCAAAAGAGGGTGAACTCTTCTCTGGCCGATTTTGACAAGCTGCCTCTCAACCTCCTCGAGGTCAAGCTCGATGGCAGCCTTCTGGTGAATGAAAATGAGTAGGAGAATGAGTGGGGTAGGAGATATGCGACAGATGCAGAGGTCGAAAAAACTGTTAGACTTTCTCCAACCGACCTTAAAATTTGCTTCACAAGAAAAATGATTTGTTGCACAGCCTAAAGCACGGGTCAAGAACTTGAATCCCTCTCGCGTTTCTATGCACACTGAGCACCAATACAGTTAGCGTCAGACAGCTTCAATGCGCTAAAGCAAAGGCGTGCAAGAGTTTATGCCGTGCCCGTGCTTCTAAGTTCTTACTGTTCGGCGCGTAGATGTCGCTGGATATCGCGGCCGGACCGCAGCGACATCTATTCCACGGACTGCACGCTCTAAAAAACTGCCACCTTCTACAACTGCTGTAAGGGCGAAATTCCGTTCGTGATAACGGGAAAAGCAGCCTTTTTGACACCGACTTGCTTCAGGAAGATGGAAGCAACTGGGAGCAAGTCCGCCAGGCCGTGGGTAGGTTAGAAGGTACCCACAGTGGATCATTGGCTGAAGCTTGAAATTGCACATGGATGCAAGGAATGGCCATGCAGGTAAAATATTGATCATTGGTGATCGATTATTTTCCGTTTGCATTGATATTCAGTCAATTATTTGCTCCAACACCGGTTGGAGGGATGGGCAGTTTTTCGACCTCTGGACAGATGGTCTGAGAACGAACGTTCTGCTGATGCACTTGATACGGGGATCGTCAAAAACAGGCGTACTATTAGGTATAACCGCCTATCATGAATGTTGCACCGGTCTTCTGTTCCCATTTCAACATCAGCCAAATTTTGTGGGGGCAAAAACATAGTCTTGCCCCCACGGCCTCCTGCCAGTGGGGGCAGTCTGCCCCCACTGCCCCCACGGTGGCGCCGCCCTTGGCTCGCAAAAAAACTAGCAGAGAGATGTGGCCAAAAACGCCCCTGCCCCACCCGGATGAAAGTTAACGCCCTCTTCAGAAAGTGGTGTGTGGCGAAATACCTCAGCAGCTGCCGGTTTATAAATGTGTTGATATTCAACTTAGCTACGTTAATAGCCGGTATTTTTGGACTAATAAAAAACATTTAGAACAAACTAAAGTTTTTTCAAGCTTCTGAAACTAGCAGTTGGCACCACTATTTTACATACCCAGCTTTCGGATCATTTTTGGAGAAAACAACGCACGGGACAGATTTCGTACTAAAAGGAGTCAGGGTTTTGGACATTGGACGGACATTGAACACACAACCCTTTTCTGAGACTAGCTCAAAAGTCAAATAGTAGTCGGCACGACCGTACGGTGAGGGAAGCGCGAAAAACGCACCCTTTCGGTTTCAGGAGCCAGGGTTTTGGACATTGGACGCCGGACGGACATTGAACAGACAACCTTTTCTGAGACTAGCTCAAAAGTCAATAGTCGGTACGGGCCCAAAAACCGAGGTGAGGGAAGCGCGAAAAACGCACCCTTTCGGTCCCCCCCCCTAACACACCAAGAGTCAACGGCGTCACCAATCATGCGATGTTCTGGTCAGTCAACCCATGTCAACTGACCTTCGTGTCGGAGCGCGCCGTCGAACTTAGGGAGTGAAGTATGTGTATTTTTTATGTCCGCCCATAGATGGCTCTAGCTAAGGCGCCGTAAAGTAGGCTGTACCGCATATCTCGCGACTTAGGCCATCTGCACAAGCCAGAGCGCCTCAAGCCCTAGGTCTGAAATATAACAGTACATTTCATTGTTCATAGATGGCAGCACCCATTGTGATGTTTACATACTGACTGACCTTGAAGGGGCGGTACCCCGATTGGTTCCAAAACAGTGGTAGAGCTGAAATATTTGTGATAATTGAACAGTACATTTTGTAAATATTGATTACAAATAACCCATAAAAAGACTTCTTAATCTATAATTATTGTTTAAAAGTAACTTTTTACTGTAAACTGACAAGAATATTGAATGAAACTCTTACAAAGCAGCAATCGCCGGACCTATTGATCGCAATAATACTTACGCTCCATGCCGTACGGGCTGCGCCGGAACCGTCGCGACGCGTCGAGATCAGAGAGCGGGCGTGGGTCGAGGTGGGCGGAAGCGGATTTGAGGATCTCATACACGAAGTACGACAGAGGTATTTGGCTTGGGACTTGTTGCCCTGCCAAAGAAGATTTAACATTGTGAAGCCCTTAGGCCCATCTGCGGGGCTTGGTATTCTTTTGCGTCCCCGTGTTTCTGGTACTTGCATTTTGCCTCCAGATCGTATCGCCTCTGTACAGTCCCCGTTTGGTGCGACCCCATAGGAGGGTTTATTTTCGGCTGGTTTCAATACCAGTCAAAATTGATACCATTCTGATCAAGTGGAGAGGAAGCTGTTGTTGTAAGGTGAGTTATTGCTTGATGACTTGGCTACCTGTCTGTGTTATTGATGTTTTTGTGTATCTCTGGTGTGACTGCACTGGCACCCATTTCAATGGTGGCTGCCATATAAATGGTAATTTAGAAATAATCAGTGTTGATATGCACTAATTTTTAATTGGTTGCATGGTCTACTCCATTTTACCTACCTGAATGCCAAGGATGTGCAATTGGGTACATTCAAATGGAAATGATAAATGTTGACCCAAGTATTGACAGATTTGCACTGCCATCACTGCATCTCCTGAGGGCTGTTCGGCTGCGCAGCCAAAATGAAATATGCTGCAGCACGCATGCGCAGTGAGGACTGCGTCGCCCGTTAGTCCCGCCCACACCACTGCGTCACCGCCTGTGTGACGTCACCTACTGAAGCATGCTTCGTTTTCCTGCAGCACGAAATTCGGTGCTGCAGGAGGCGAAAGTGGCGCGGATTAAAGTTTGCCATCCAATATTTCTTATTGCAAGCGGTTTGTATGCTGGTTTTTGGGTATCATTATCACTCTTTTCGGTGGCACATTGCTATTAACCACATTTGAACGCAATTTAACTGTTATTCGAGCGAAAATCACCAGTCCACCCGCGCAACGGTTCGCCGCGTTTGAAATAGGCTGCAGCGACGCTCGGCCGCGGCGTGCCGGCGGAGAGTGGGCGGAGCCAGGCGGTTGACGTCACCCAAGTATGACGCACGCAGCACAGATCTATGCTGCAGGGACCCGAACAGCCCTCTGTTCTTTCCAGCCCTGCAGGCGCATACTGTGCCGCCATGCCCGAGTCCCAGGACGCATCCTGCGATGGTCCGACCGGTCACTTGGAGCTCAGCCAGGAGCTGGACCAGATCGACCTGTGCCCCATCACACTGGATGACATCAAGGCTGACCCACATAGACCGCAGATCGATGAAAGGTATGTCGGGATGAAATCACTGGGATCTGGCCCTTACAGACCCCAGGGAAATGGAAGGCAGCTGTGTCAGTTATCTTTTGACTTGGGATGCTCTGTTCATCTGTTGAGTTTTTACCTACTATGACTGCTGTGATGCTTTCCCAATGAATATCACTCTTCAAGTGTTATTGCTGGGCAGGGTGATCAATTGCTAGGCAGTAAAAGGGTAAATGATTATTTACAGGCAGTAGGTATGTGCTCAAACCACTGTTGATTCCATGTTGACCTTGCACAATATGCCTATCCCCGCTGTTTCCTGCCAGTTTCCTGCCCTGCAGGCTAGTGTCTGTCTCTGTGCCGCCCTGCCGTTCAGTGCCATTGTCGCCCTTATGTCTCGCGTCTGCCCTCACGTGTCCCCCTGTCTCCCCCAGTGAAATCATCGAGTGGAAGCAGCGCGACCACTTCGCCACGGGGAAGCGCAAGCGGCCGGTGCCCATCGTGATAAAGACGCCGTCGACCCGGCAGCTCTGGAACCGCGCCATCTCCAAGGTGAGTCCCCCCGCCGGCGGTGCGGTGGGAACAGCGCTTTGAGCCGCGATACAGCCGGGGTCTTCGGACACACGACAGCTCCAATAAGGCATCTCTGTGCAGTGGGCTGGTCAGAAGGAATGTTTCAGGTGAATGAAGTTTGCAACCCTATTTGAGGTGCTGCTCTGTTCATGGGTATTAATGTTTTCTAGTGTGTTGTTTTTAGCACATTTGGTCACAAATTTATCCGAGATAAGTTTAAGACGACACCATGATTTCTCCGTCTTTGTTTTCCTCCCATTGGGGACCGGTCTTTTCGGCCACTTTAAAGTGGCCGAAAAGTGGGCGCTGCACCGTCTCAATTGAGACGGTGCGGCGCCCCATGGAGGACGGAATAGGTGAAGTGAAGGTTCTCCCCAGTGGTAGCTTCAGTCCCGGATTTGGCAGCTCTCGCAGTGTAGGCCGTCCGTGCTCCGGAGGTCGCCACTCGCATTGACGACCGTCTGTGCCCAGGTCGCCTATTCTTGCTGTCGCTGGGTGTGCTTGAGGTATTTTCATAACGTTATATCGACACCTTTTTTTAACCCCACATTTGTTCTCCCGTGAAGTTCAGACAAGTTGTTTAGAAACCTTCAAAAAAGGTACAGTCACTCGATTTTTCTCAAGTTTGTCTGTCTTGGCAGATCAAGCAATGCCAGAGCAAGCTTACGAACACACAAATTTGATCAGGATCGGACGATTGGACACTTCTAAAAAGAGATCTTTCGTGCTTCCCGGAAATTCACCGGAGAACAGATGTGGGGTTTAAAAAAAGGTGTCGATATATTAGGACGACTGCGTGACTGCTTAAGGTCAAACATTGTGCGTTCGGGGTCAGCAATGAGTCTGACACGCCTTGTGTGATCCAAGCCTGCCCAAACTGAGTGCCGGCTTAGTATCACTAAATGCACCAGACGGTGTTATACTCTGTCACCCTTTCCTCCGGAACCCCCGGTGCTAGCCGGCTGGTAACGGTCGGCCCGGACTGCGCACTAACGCCGGGCTGGGCGCCGCCGGGCCGGGGGCGTTGGGTTCGACCGTCGCTCAGACCCCGTGCCGCCGCCTGTTGTGGTGCGCGGCTCTTGGGCGCTGTTTCGGCGCTTTGTTGTGATTGTTCTAGAGTGTAGACCGTGCCCGGCCGGTTCGCGTGGTAATTGCGCCGTTGCCGAATTTCCCAGCCTGTCGAACCTCCCTCACCCCGCCCCGCCCCCTGGTGGTGGGCGGTGAAACGCCGGCCGGCCAGCCGGTCCTTGGCCCATCAGCTGACGCGGCGGGAGGGGGAGGGGGAGCGATGTGCGTAGTTGGCGGAGTGGCGTGATGGTTTCGTCAGGGCGGGTCGTCGCACGCGGTCTGGGACACGCGAATGGGTCCGCAGCTGTTCCGACGGCCGACGGTCGTCGAACGCGTCGGCTGCCGATGCTCAGCGCCGGACGTGACAGCGATTTATGGAGGCCGAATGTGGTCCGCTCGGACCCCCGGCCCGGCTGTCGGTCGGGCGGTCGGTCAGTCGGAATGGCTGATTTCGTCAGACAGCCGCCACCAGTGGTGTATCCGCTCGATCAGCCTGATTTGGGGTGATTGATTTGTCCAGCTATGTCCAGCTAGCTGCTAACTTAGTTGACACTGAGACGTCTCCCGATTAACTTTTCAGGCCCTGCAGGCCTTCTAAGGCCGCCTTTCCATCCTGTCTGGTTACAAGCTTGTCTCCCATCTTGCGACCTTTGATCTCCACTTCACAGCCCTCTGTTCCGCACAGTCCCCGCCTTGTCCCTTGTCCCCCTCTGCCCCGTTCCTTTGCTGTCCCCCTGTCGTTTTCCCTTCATCTCCCATTGATCCGTCCTCTGTTCTTCCCGTCCCTCTCCCTCCCATGTTGATCCGTTGTGTCCGTTACTACCATTCGGCTTCTGCCCGCTGAGTCCCTCTGTCATGCCGTCTCTCCACCCACCTGTTCATGCCTGCGACCTGTACCGTACCCTCTGCCATTGCGCGTGTGTGACGGCCCCAGTCCGTGTCTAGTAGACACATCTATGGCTCATAGACACTGTCAATGTTACCGTACCCTCTGCCCCTGCGGTGTGGCGCCGCCAGTCCCTGTCTAATAGACACGCACGTCTATGACAAATAGACGCAGTCTATGTTACCGTACCCTCTGCCCCTGTGGTATGGCGCCGCCAGTCCCGGTCGGTGATAGTGGACCGGCCGGCCATTGCAGACAGTGATGTCACTCGGCGCCGCTGACAGTGACGTCACGCGGCGCCGCAGACAGTGACGTCACTCGGCACTGCGTTCTGCGCCGCGGCCATGGGTGTGTGACCCCCCCCCCCCCCCGGCTCCGCTGGATGGTGCGTTATTTGGGACAGGGCCGGCCGCGCACCGTCGCGTCGCGTGATTGCAAACGAGGCTACTGCGTTGGATGCTCGGAAGTGAATGGCGACGGTGCCGAGAGTGGCGATTGCACAGCTGGGGAGGTCTGTCCTAGTATCTGACCTGATCTTATCTGACTGAACTAAATTTGACCTGCGGTTATCAAAGCCTAGGTGCCGTCTCCCACCGCCGTCTGATGCGACTGTTTCAGAGTTCACTGACCGGTGGATGATTCGGCGCGCGGTGCCAGGAGGACGTGGTTTGCCGCGCCACTGCTTATTGCTGCTCTGCATACTCTACCCTATGTGACCTGTCCATTACACCCATTATCCGCGCCGCCCGCCGCCGTTACCGGGTTCCCGGTAACTTTCCACCGGCACCCTCCCACCGGCGCCGCCACCGCGGACCGGCCCGGTCTGAGGATTTGGCCGGCTCGAGAGCGTTCCCACTCGGCCGGCTCGGGGGCGTTCCCATTCGGCGGGTTCGGGAGCACTGGGCTCCACTGGGCTCGGCGGGCTCCACGGGAGCGTTCCCCTTCGGCCGGCTCGGGAGCGTTCCTATTGGGCCGGCTCGGGAGCGTTCCCCTTCGGCCGGCTCGGGAGCGTTCCCAATCGGCCGGCTCGGGAGCGTTCCCACTCGGCCGGCTCGGGAGCGGTCCCATTCGGCGGGTTCGGGAGCGTTCCCACTCGGCCGGCTAGGAAGCGTGCCGTTCCCACTCGGCCGGCTCGGGAGTGTTCCCACTCGGCCGGCTCGGGAGCGTTCATATTCGGCCGGCTCGGGAGCGGTCCCATTCGGCCGGCTCGGGAGCGTTCCCACTGGGCTCCGCTCAGTCCGGGTGGTTGCCGATCGAAGTGGCTTCGTTGAGCGTTCCGCTACTTCCGTCCTCGGCGCAGTGGGAAACCTTGGACTACATAGATCTGCAGTTAGTACGCCCGTGCCGTTTAACTAGCTGACCGGGATGACTGTGTGTTCTTCGATAGGCTGCCTAACATGAGCGATTAGGCCTGTTCTACTTATACCTATGACCTGTCCTTTCGTCCTCGACCTCCCGAATAGACTTTCCGAACAGCTCTCCTCCCAATCAGCCCAAATGCTGTGACTTCGTCCCTGCTCCATTTCACTGTCAGTTCAGATCGGTTTCTTACCCAGCTTTGCCCCGAAATTCTCTTACACATGCTCCCGCGTGTTTTTGTGAACAGTTTTCTGTCATTTCCGCTCCTCAGTATGTGTAGGCACTGGAAATCTACCTCAGTGAATGGGTGACGTATGTCGACCGGCCACCGTATCGACTCTCACGCGCTGCTCAGTCCTCAGTCCTCTCCTATCCCGCCGCACTGTGGGCCGGGAGTTCCTCTTTACCCCGCTCCCCTGCCGAGTCGCCTGGTGCCACTACAGGTCGTCGGACGGCTCGGAGCCGGCGGATGTGGAGTCTGCACTCTGCAGGGAGGGACGACTGGGCGCGGGTGAACGCTCGGTGGAAGGCCGCCGCCGCCGCCCGCCGCAGGCAGGCTGTCGGACGAGCAGGCAGGTCAGGCTGCCCGGCTGGAGTGGAGAGGGCTGACCGGTGGAGAGAGAGCACCGGCGGAGAGAGGGCTAGCCGGAGTGGAGAGAGGGCTGGCCGGTGGAGAGAGGGAGGACGGTGACTGGCACTACCTGGAACGGCGGCAGGGCTGCGGCTTCTCTACACTCCCTCTCTCTCCAGGACAGATCCACGAGCCCTGGCTGCTCAGTGCTTACTGCCCGGCAGTGTTCGCCATGGGCCCCAAAATCCCCAGCCCAGCCCGGCCCGGGCCCATGGGTTCAGAGCCCGGCCCAGCCCGTAGCCCGCTCTTGGCAAATATTCCAAGCCCAGCCCGGCCCGGCCCGTCAAAAATAGCAATCTAGTTATTGTCTTAGTCTATTGCTATAATAAGCATGATTGATTACACTATTTTGAGAACAATTCAAATTGCATGAATATTAACATGGCAATCATGACCCCCTTCTTTTCAATGAATATAATCATTTCAAGCACCTATGGCACACATTTTTAACAGTAACAGCAAGCACCTCAGTCAATTAGGTCATGATTACACACCTATAAAAAGTTTACATGATTATATTAACTACATTCTATGAGTAAAGTTATCTTGCAAGCTGATGTGTGTGAATATTATCATTCATAATTGGTGACTCTAATGCATACTTGAAGGAAGTATTTGCAACATACTCTATACTTCCCAGCACTTACCAGCATAAAAAGCTTGACTTATGGGAATTGATGAATCTGTCTGGGATTGACCTTGCTGTTAAATTCACTCCATAGATGCTGCAATATCAAAAGCCTGAGAAAGCATACAAAATAGGTGACACTAACTTAAGCACTGTCTTCCAAAAAAAGAGAAAATCCATCCATTTATCAGCAAAACTGATTTAATCTATTTTCAATTCATGCCCACGTGTCAACCGAATCTCTGTGGACAACTATCTGCTACTTTCCTTGCTATTTTATGTTAGGCTCTTTTCAAGATATGGATATCGCTAGCAGCGTAAGCAGAAAACATGGTAAGCTTGAAATGTCATTGGGTACTTTTGCGACTTTTACGCATCATCATCATCAATCGAAAATGAGCGAACAC